AAGATTCACAGCCACTGACAGTGTTTTCCTGTCTCTTTTGAGCCCATCTGGACAGAGAAAACATATTGGTCATACTAAATTGGTTGTGGCCTTAATGCCTTTCTAGGGCAGTCAGAGGAAGTGAAAATATCCAATGTGTGTGCAGCTTACCTAAAGGGCGATCTAGTTGGTCATGAAAGAGAAATTCTTCCCAGGTAATGTAGATATTCATCTGCTAGAGTGTGGTACTTCCTCTCAAGGTCCCAATGGCACACTTTGGGGTGATTACAATCATGATCTCCATATGTACTTCTGAGCAGAGTGTAGGCCAAAGCTTTCAGCAGGTAGTAGAGGTATCTGGAATGTAGGAATTCATCATCAGAACCCTCTCTCCAGGCCTGCGTGTCTTTATGAAGGACTAGGTCTGCTGCTATGACTCTCTGTCCCACTCCCACTCCCAGTTCCACCCCCTTTGAGAATTATAAAATGACAGATGTGCTACTGGCATCTGCATTTCAGTGTAAAATAATCAACCACAGTCCCCTCAACCATTACCATATGGTTTCATTGGTCAAGATCATTGATGTCACCTCTCTCTCAGGTTCTCATCTTGCCAATGGTCTTTTGCTCCGGGAATGTTACACCCTCATCTTCTTTCTTTTGGATTATCAGCTAGGGGTTTACAGTACTCTTTGCACAATGTACATTACCATAGCTCACAGATGCTTATATTCTCGATAGACTTCAGATCTATTTTATTGTGAAAATGAAGACTTCAGCTACCTCATAGCCAAACCTGTGTGTAACTATCAGCATAAAAAAGTTATCATGCATTGCATCCCTGTAGTTTTCACATCACACGTTGTTAATATATACCATTTTATTTAATCCTTACAACAATCTTATGAAATGAATATGACTTTCTAATAGTGCAAATGAAAACCCTGAGGTTCAGAGCAATGGCTTGTCTAGTGTGTGCATGGATACGTACATGCACAAATTTCTCAGCAGAATTTTGGTTCAATCAAAAAATATCAAAAATTTAATATCTACACAGAAGTAATAAAAATGTTACTGTTGGAAACACTCTAACTTTATAATTTCCTGTGTTAGAAGGAAGAAATATTAAAGAATTTTGGTAGTATGTTGTCATTCATATCATCATTCAATACATGAACATATTTTATTGTTGGCTAGTGTGCGCTCTTAGGCATGCAGACACAACTGAGACCTAACTTTAGTTCTCAGGCAGAAACCTCCCCAGTAAAAGATGAAACACACTGACGACATACAGCAGACTGTTCCAGAGTACCAAGAAGAGAACTAAAGTGCAAAAGAAGCGATTCATTAGTCTGGCAAAAAATTAAGGGGAACTTTGGTGGGAGGAGAAGAGGTATTGAGAGGAACCCTGAAACAGAGACAGAATTTGAATAAATCTACAGGAGACAACATCGCAGGCCCAGCTGTCAATGTGACCAAAGGCATGCGATGGAAAAATTGGTGGCCTCTAGACTGATAGTGGAATTATAATGGAGCCATCAGGGATGATAGGGAGGAGAGAGTTGAGAAGGCAGTTGGGCGCTATGGCTTAGATCTACAATGTCCCCAAAGGCTCTGCTTAGAGGTGGGGCCTTTGGAACAACAATAGTATGACAGGTATCACAAGCAAATTCGCTACGTTGCTTCAGGTCCATCACAGAAAATCAGCCCATGCGAACTGACGCTTACTACACCCACAGGTAGAAAGTAAAGGGTCGAGGGATTCATTTCATGATTCTATTCAATACTTATAATAATAACCACCCTCTTTTTAAAGCTAAGAACACAGAGTCAGAAACTTGCCTAACGCCACACACCCAGCAAAGCTGTAGCTGGATTTCTAAACAGGGCAGATGGACCAGGAAAGAGTCTTTTAACCACCACACAATGCTGACTCCAGAAGCCACCACAAGGGGGCGCTCCGGCCTCATTCACCCATTCACCTCAGTTAAAAGGGGGTAAATTTTATTTTTACACCTGGAGGATAGGGAGGTGGGGCATAATTCATAGTCCACTCCCCATTCTCCTTTTGTCTCAATTCCAAGCCTGCTTTAATATTGAAAAGTTTCAGATCGATGTAAAAATGCTACAAGTGTTGGTCGTTTTAACTCCAGGTCCAAAATACAAAACGCCCAAAAGAAGCTACTGTATTGTGAAGAGACACACTCAGTAGGAAGGAAGAACTATGTTTTCCTTCCTTGGACAGTAAAGGAAAAGATTGATTTTAATGAAAACTAGCTTAAGGTTGACGTGTCAATCACCAAAGACATTGTGTTCTATTTAAACAGCTCATTTAGTGCACATGGCCAGAACATACACAGAAGTTTCTCTCAGACATGTGGATCCTCCAGGCCTGTATTAGAGTTGAGGACAAAGGTCAGAGAATGCACTGGCTTTTTCTTCTTTTCATGTCATCTGACAAATAATCAACGTGGTGAAGCAGTTGTGACAGTGTCATAGGACAAAGGCTCTACACATAATGGTGACAAGTGACATCTGGGACTTACAGAGCTGGAAGTTCCTGTATGGACCCTGACACATCTGCGTCTGGTGTGTAATGAGGCCGGGCCCCATTGAAATGGACATCCTTGGGCAGGATGAATAAGATACGCTTTGTATAAAAAAATCTTCCCTCCACCTGAGAGAATCAATAGCATTTAATGTCTGATAGACAGGAGAACAATGAAAATACACCTCAACAACCAGCTCAGTAGCAGATAGGCCTGCCAGTAATTCCTGTGGGCTCAGGGAGGCAAGGCATCCCTTTCACAGTGTTATATCTGGTTGTTTCCTATGAGATGGAACACCAGAGCAGACACTCTGAAGACGGTGGAACCGCGCCCTGAGACGTCAGCTGAAAGAAGAACATGTGGCAGAAAACTTCAGAGGAGGGAGGAAAATGAGAAGTGAAAATATGACTCAGGAAATCTGGAGGTTCCAGATGTGGTTCGAGGGAGAAGCTACGACGAGGCTCAATGCAGAATGTCTCACCATAGCAGTAACAGAGCTTGGGTGAATATTATATTGAGTTTCCCTGACAGCTGGAATTGGCTGGTTTAAACCTAGTAAACATCTGGGAAGCCAAAGCCCCCTCCCAACCTAATCTGGAACTTGCTGGAGTCATTTTTTTTAACGTTGCAAGAGAAAAGATGACCAGACACCAAAAAAGTAAATGTGGACATTTGTAAAAAACTCTCCTGTTGGCTGTAAAGGTAACCAGGATGGGAGAGCAGGCCTAGGCCACTGTAAGCTAACCCTGTATTAGCAGAATGAGCTAAAGCAGGATTTATAAGGGTCAGAAAGCCAGGAGCGGGACATAGATGGGGAAAGGAAACTGCTCAAAAGGTTGGGATGAGGATGAAAGTGTAAGTGAAGACACGGCTGTAAAGAATCATTTTTGATGTTGGTATGGTTTGGATCTGGTACATCATCCATAGGCCTGTGTGTTAAAATTCTCGGTCCCCAGTTTGGTGCTACTGGGAGCTAGGGGCGCCATTAGGAAGAGGTGTGTCCTGGCGGGAGTCTTCGGGTCCTGGGGGCTTGCCCTTGGAGGACCTGTGGATGTCTCATCTCCTCCTCTACAGTTTAGTTTGCTTTCCAGCCATGGGCTGAGGAGTTTTGCCTCATAATATGCGCTCCTGCCATGTGGTGCCTCTTCTCCACTCCCACCAGAAGCCGAAAAACAATGAGTCTCCCTGATCATGGACAGCAACTTCCGAAACTGTGAACCAAAATAAACCTTTTCTTGTCATAAGTTAATGATCTCAGGTGTTTGTTATAGTGATGGAAAGCTAACTAGATGTAATTTCTGGATTTTGAAAAAATGAACCAAAAGAAAATGCATCCTTTGCAGCATCTTGCTAGAGAGGACTGTCAATACATTTGCATCTTCAGACATGAAGTGAAGCTTGCCTTGTGTGTAGTTGTATTCTTTTCCCACGTCTCAATGTCCAGGAGCACAGCAGAGCACTTTTCTCAAGGCCAGCTGTGTGCATGTGCGTGAGTCTGCACTACCAGGCGAGTTTGTGCATCAGTAGAAAATCATACTTCTACATTTGTTTTACTGTGAAATGTATTTCTGACATTTCTCACCACTCATCCTCTTTTCCATGCCCCCACTTTTCCAAACTACTTGCTTAGGAAGATAATAATTATGATGGGTCAATAGTTTTTCTTAAGTAAGCGTGTACCTATTGGCAACAGGGAAAAGGCAACATTGATTTAAAAAACAACTTTTTGTATAATCCTCCCATAAAATTTGAGAGTTGGATATGATATAATGGTTAACAAAAAGAAAAAGATGATCTCTGTAAGGAAATTGGCTTCTAATTTAGTTCACAAGAGCAAGTGCCTTTAAATGCGTAATCAGCTTGGGTCTAGGTCCTCTTCCAGGTAAACAGCATCTCTCTTTTCTTTGAACAGTGGAGACTTCAGTCTTTGCCTTCTAGCTGAAGCCTTCCCAGGACATATTTTGAAGTCTTGCCTGCTTTACCAAGGAGCCACACCAGTTCAGAGACGGCTCTTCTGCTATGGAAGTCGTCCAAGTCACTTTTTTTTGAAAGCAAATGGAGCAACACAGTAAGCTGTATTTGATTTTCCATAAAAATAAATGGACATAGCACAGTCAGGAGCTGTTTTTAATTTCACAGGGCATGAAACTAGTTTGCTGAACCAGGGCACATGCTATATAGACGCTTGAGGTGAGCACATCACTAAAGCAGAAAGGTAACTATCATTGGCTTAACTGCTATGTCCATCAGAAGGGAAAAAATGCTTGCTTTTCTGGATAGATGCCCACTGTCTAAACTGAGCTTAGCTCTTCAGCTTTCTTTTGCATTTCAAGTTTTTACATCAGAATTTATGTAGTGAAACTTCATCACCATGCTAATCCTAATTCTGACGTCTTCTGTAGGCACACAAGGTGTGGTGATACCTATTTGGTAGTATTTCACAGGTTTCACAAATAATTAAGAGAAACAAACTTTCACCACAGAATTAAAATATTTAATGACAAAATCAAAGTTTGCTATAGTAGTGAATCAACAGAGCGGGTGTTACTGGTCTCTGAATAAACAACAATTATGTTTGACATCTTAGAGAACTTCTGAAGAATTGATAACTGTACAACAGACATTAGCAGTGTTACAATTCTGCAAATCACAAGTGAAACCTATCTTTAATACCCCATATATAGGGCATTCTTAAAATACTTTTACAGAAATGCACAATCTCTCCTAGCCACAATAGTAGTAAGACGGATTTCACTATAATTTTAAGTCTAACACATAATCTTAATTTTTGCAGAGCTTAAAGAATGTTAACTACTGATCTTGCTACAATTTACAGATACATTCTTTAAAATGAAACGTTAACCTGAATAATTGCATACTTCCTGTACACAGATACCTAATAATACTAGTGAGGAATACTACAGCTGTGTTCCAGGGAGAAGTGGTAACACTACAAAGATTTTCTTTATTGTAGCAATACGATTTGAGAACACCTTCACAAAAATTTCATAGTGAAGTGCAGAAATAAAACAGAAAAATTTAATATTATCTAGCAAGCTCAACCAAATGTGTTGGTCTCAAATGATATGAGTCATTTTAGCAATTTTCTCTTGGTTAAATTGTATTACTGTTTTGTATCCCAGCACCTTCTACAAAAGGATAGCAAAGACCTTATCAAAGGGAACCTCTGCAAGAGGCTGGAAGGCAGAAGAGGGATAGGAAGTGCTGTTATGGCCTCTCTTTCGGGGAGGCCAACTTGTACTTTGATACAGGGAGGTCAAGGACATGACCACTGCCTGGAAACTAATTAACAGAGGAAGCCAATAAAGATTCAGATGTGCCTGCTTCCAATTCAGGCTATTTCCAATAAGATTTAGGTCTGAGAGGATAAACAGAGTGAGGAAAGAGGGTAAGATATGGATCACTTACCTTTATGACAAGTACATATTAGAACTCCACCAGGGAGGAAGAATCTCGGATTTCTCAGTGTGCTTATGACCTCACCCTCTCCTATTTTACAAGAAGCTTTGCAAACACTGTTTTTAGATAGTTGGCAACCAATTTTATTCTTGAGTTTGGCTAACTGTCAGGTGGTTATAGATTTACTCTTTCAATTATTTATACCACCTAGCTCAGGAACCAGAATTTAATTTGAGAAGATGAATATCTATAGCTGTGTGTGTGCATCTGTGTTTTCTGTGAACTGAAGTCTGCCATCAGCACCCACTTGGAGTGATATTTGGGACTTTTCTTAGAAACTATAAATCCTTCTAATGGCACTCATGAGATGGCATGTTCCACATGTCTTCATACTTTTAAGAGATCAAAAGAAAAGTAAAAACATTACAGGAAACTTTCATAGTTTACTATATAAATTTTACAGAGTTTTCTTGAATTGGATCATCTCTAAGAGGATTAAGAAATTTGTCTCCAGCAAATCTATTTCCCTTTGACATGTACTGCCTATGATTTTTATTTTCCAACAGACAAACTTTCTATCTCCCAGGGGATGCTTTGTCAGGAGAATTTAAGCTATTGAAATCAGGATTAATAATCCCAAAGTCATCTTACACTGCTGTATAAGAGACTACAATACACATCACTTCGCTGGCTCAAGGGTTCCGAAGGAACAGAAGGGGCCCTGAAGACTCGGGCAGCTTAAAAATCAATGTACCACAGTGAAAGGCTGACAGTGTGTCTGAGATGTGCAGCTTTGCCTCTTTGTTTCATGAGAAACAAACACAGCATTTTATGTTTAGCATTGAACCTTCCTGGAAACAAAGCTTCCGGACTCAAAACGCAGTATCGTCTTGAGCAACACACAAACAAATGGTGGGAGACCAGCTCTATTCAATCTGGCAGCAACATAAAGTCTTTATGACACAACTCACAAGTCAATCAGGCAAGCTACAGTTGCCATCATATGCAATTTGTCCAGAAACATACAGTTAAATTGCATTAAATAGAGAGTCAACACAAAATTCAAACCTTTAAAAGTCAGAAACTAAGAAATTTTCCCAAGGACATTCTGAGGGTGTCTCTAAATTGGGCACAGCTTTGTAAAAACAAAAGAAAAAAGATTTTAAATGCAGTATCTTTTCACACTATCTTCACATAGACATTTTATCTGGACAAATCAATTTTTGATAAAAATCCAAGCTCATTCCAATATCAGCTATGGTAATTTGAGACAATGACAGAAACATCCTTGAAGACACAGTTTTTAAAATAGGGTTTTCTTGGAGCCTTAGCTCTCAAACTTTTATCTATCATGTGATAATTCCAAATTATCAGCCTGGAAAGAAAGAGCAGAACTAGTTAAGCTGCAGATTTCTATTTGTGATTCTGATTTGTTTTTTGAATACCGTTAATGGTTCATGCAAAAGACTAATATGCAAAAAGTAAAATCTAAGATTGCTATTTCTGGTGATAAATCCAAGTGTTTTTCATAATACGGACTGATATCTCATGATACAGAATTCTAATTTTACTCTTCAATTTAAGAGTTCCAGGAGTGTGAGTGAAGCCAATTGCTGCTTGACTTTTATTTTCACCCAGGAACAATAACATGTGATGTCACCACACTGAAATTCTTGTTTAATGTCAGGGAGAAAAAAAAGCACACTACTAGTTTAGGCCAGCTCAGTTTATCATTTGGTCCAAATTTTACAACCAAACTTCCAAAATATTTCTTCTTGAAAAGGAAAACATTCAAATATACCCCTCCCCACACACACACACGCAGAAAAAATTAAAATGAAGCTGATGTTATTGTTGCATTTTTAAAAGCAAGATTATTAGGGAAATGTACACACACGACACTTTTTCATCCATATTAACACCTGAAAATGAAAAACAAAACAAAACAAAAAACCCCTAAGTGTCCATATATTGGGGAACAAAAGCAGGTGGAGGTCCAGGATTCTTGTAAAAACTGCTGAACAACTCTTCCATTTCTCTCGAGGGTCACTAGGATAGGCAGTTTTTCAACATTTGTGCTTCATGGCAAGCTAAGGAGAGAAGAATGAGAAAAGTGAGAATTTATTAGCAAAGAGGCCTTTCTGTTGACCCCTCCCCACACCCTGTATGAGAAGCAGCACCGAGATTCTCCTTTCTGTGGCAGATCATCGTTATTATCCACAGTGACACACCTAGGACATGTGCAGCACTTTCCCAAAGAGCTCACTGGATATTGCGACTGTTACTTTTCCTTACTTTAATTCTCTTGTGGTATGCAGTGGGGGTGGGTGCTGGGTGATGTCCTTCCATCACACCAAATGACCAACTGGGTATACCTATAAGCAAGCAGAATGAGTGACTGGCCCTAGGAATGCTGGGGTTCCCAGGTTACTGGTTACCCTGGAACAGCAGCACTTCTGAAAAGTGAGTGTTTACTGACACCTCATGGAGGATTAAGGACTTAACATCTCATGGAGAGACAAACTGCAACCATCTACTCAATATCCTGCGTGGACATTCAACCTCTGCCAAACTCTTGACAAGTAAATTGTGTTATTGACTGGGGATGAACAATAGACCAACAACAGAGCTTGATTTACTACTTCTCCCATTGGAATTTGAGAAATGCAGTCTATTATTAAAATGTTAGATCTTTATAAATAAGAACACCAAGTACCACTGCATCATTCAATACTTTCCCAAGCACCGTGGAACCCATTATGATGTATTTGAGGAAATTATATGCAGGCATAGAACATAAATTATATGAAATCTGATTTTCATATTCAGATCTTTATCTTAAAAGCCCATAGTAGGCAGAACAGAGGCTGAATTACAGTTCTTTATGTGCCCAGGATCTGATATTGGAGGGTAATCCCTCCATTTGGGGCCGGGAGTCAGTAGGGTTAGGGTTCTGTAGCTCAGAATTTCTTTGAGTAAAGAACACATGATTATCTATAGGAAATAACTTTCTAGAGAACTTGGCCAGATTCTCTGCTTTTTAAAAATTAGTAAGGGGGATCCCACTGATTCTACTTAGTGGTTCCCTACAGCATCCTGAAAGATGTCAATATTCCATTTCTCCAGCAAAATCCAGGACAATCTATGTGTCCCCTTCCTATTCTTGACATCTTCAACAGCGAAGTCACAACCCTGGAACTTCCACCAAGAGGAGCAGCATCAGTGTTTCTGCATGTGATAGAGCGAGGCCACGTGGCCCTAGCCCTCATGCTGTGAAGTTAATCTCTGTGGGAAGCCTCAGCTGAGAGAGTGCCTGGCACCCTGTCTAGTGGTGCCACTGAGAACCTCCGCTGACCTCCTGCAGTGCTGACACCAATGGTCAGTGAACTGTCAGACACAGTTTGTGAGGTTCTGAGTGTGCCCATGCTGTCTTGCTGGGTGCTGCAGACTTTTGCCAAGAAGTGTGGAGTTGTCTAATAACTCCTGGCCTCTGAGAGTTTATAGTCTAGGACACACGAGCAGCGGAATAACAGAGCTGTGGCTCTAACTCAGCTACACTCTGAGCCCTTCTCATGCATGGCCTTCAATTCTTTCTGTCTCTAGTTTTATGCATTATTTAGTAAGGAGGACCATCAAATCAAGACGGAGCTGTTAAGCATTGTGCATAATGAATACCAGCCATAAATATTTGATCCGTGCAGCCCCCTGGTATTCATTGAGCTGTTAAGTTTTCACTATGGGCTTACGTCACTTCACACACTGCTGAAGAGGCCACTGATCTTAAGCAGTGACTGTGCTACCCTTCAAATCAGACCCCAGTTCCCATGACACTGCATCTGAAATAGAGCAAAGGGGGGGCCCCAGGGCTATGATCAGCCATACTGTGCAGAGATATGACTGAATTGGGTAGTTTACTACTTGACGTATTGTTATGGTCTGAATGTTTGTATTTCCCCAAAATGCATATGTTTAAGCTTAACCCACAATCAGTGATATTAGAAGGTGGGGGCCCAAGGCAGGTGATTGGATCACGAGGGCGGAGTTCTCATGATTGGGCTTAGTGTCCCTACAAAGAGAGTGGAGAGAGACTCCGGTCCTTTCCACCTCGAGAGGATACTCTAAGAAGTCACTATTTAGGAATCGCAGAACAGGCCTTAGTCAGACCTGGAATCATCTAAGAGCACCTTGATCTTGGACTTCCCAATCTGGAGAAGCAAGAAAAATAAATCTCCCAGGTGACATTTTGTTACAATAGCTCAAATGCACTGAGACAAGATTATATTTGCAGAATGTAGCATCACCCTGGGTTTAAAAATTTCCCTGGGAATTAGGAGATTCAGAACGTAGAAGACAGGCTGGCACAGCAGAAGGACACTGGAGCAGGCAAGGCCAGGATACCTGCTGCTACAAATTTGCTGTAAGACCTTGAACTCTACAGTTTCATATTTTATCTTCCTCATGGGTTTCTTAACATGTCTCCGACTCTGTGGATTTGGGTGTCCGAGTTCCAACAGAAGGTTAAAATTTTTGATCTATTTTGATCTCAGTATCTTACGGAAAACATTATCTGTCAGTGCTATGCAGTATATTCCACCTAAATAACGATAATGAAAAATTATTAATGATAGCATGGAGATACTTTAGGGGGCCTGAATCCTTTCTCTTCTGGCCTAGAGACTCAAGGGAGAAAGTTGGCTGCTGTACTCAGAAGCCAGCCACTTGCCCTTCCCTCCCCTACAAATGCTCATCTGTGCAGATCAGGGCAGATCAATGTGCTTTTCTGCGAGAAATGTCATCTGAGGATGCCAAGGTGGGGCAATGCCCTTGCCCGCTGACTCACCGCCCGTGGCGAGCTGTCAAAGCACCGCACACACTGCAACACTGTGCTTTTGGGGGCAGGAAAAGTGAGCAGAGCTGTGTCTAGGGCAGAAATGTACTTTCCTAACAGCTGGGACTGTGCCAACCCCACAGCTCAGGAAGGAATTACACTTCCTCAAGCCAGGCGAATGGGAGCTGGGGGGAGGGGTGCTGGGGGGCAGGAATAGGATCATTTTCTATCTGCTCAGTAGAGGACAGGCACCCATGTGTCTCGAGGGCAAGGCTGTGCAAAAATGATTCATTCATTTTGTACCTGGGATATTGCACAGGTCCTGGGGAAAGTTAAAAGGCCAAAAATCCCCTGCTACTGTAATCGGGAAGCGGGTACTATACTTTCTCTGTGAGGTTGGGTGTCCTTATTTACCCAGGAACTCAGAGGAACTGTCGCCTGGAATTGCTGCTCTCTGCTCAGGGTTCTACTACGTGCTCTGTGCTTGTAAACACAGCCCACTCTTTGTGAGTCAAAAAGCCACTCACATCTAGTGGGTGGAAGGCCTGGGTTCTATCTCTCAGCTCCTCCCTCACCAGCAGGCCTGGCTGGGCCTCAGGAGAAGGATGACATCTTCATGTTAAACCTACACTAGCGGGGCCAAATTAGCAGTTCTCGTCCCTGGGAAAATCACTACACCTTAGTTAAAGAGGTCACTCTGCTCATTAGGAATGCTGCCAGTGCTGGCGATTCATAAGCACACATCCTAGTTTGAGAAAACTTGAAGTCTGGCTCTGACACTGTCACATGCTCCCTCACACATACTAACCAGTTCCAGCAGCCTCTCCCTGCAGCATCTAACGGAGGGGAAACTGAATCAAATGCAAATTGCTGCCAGGTCTGGACTCTTTCATTGGCCAAAACCCGAGGTCCTTTTGCCTCTGGTGACCTCATGTTTCTATGCTGACGGGTCCCATTTCAAGGGCTGCTTTCTGTTTAGGGGGTTTCACCTCTTAGGCGGCCCTCCCATCTTACTTTCCTTTTGAGTTTGGAAAGCATAAAATCTTCATCTTCATTCCTTCTCTGGGGCTGTGCTGAGAATCCTCAGTCACCTGTAACAGTTCTGTAGCACCTTTACTGAGCCCATTGTGTTAATCGGGCAGGCTCAGCAGAAACTATTTTTATGGAAGTAACTATAAATAATCAGATTTATGTGTGTTGCATATTGTACTAATAGCTTCAAAGCTGGATTAAAACACAGGATTTTAACTACTGTACCATATTGCTTCCCAACCACCTAGCAAACTTGGCCATAATATCAGGGAAATGGGGTTGTTAGGGCCAAGAATTCAGGCCATCTGGTTAGGTTATCCACCCCGGCGTTTGTACAAACTCCTCTGAGAGGGACGCCTACACAAGTGACATCCAGGTATTGTCTACTTCACCTTAGGAAGAATGACTTCACAGTCTTCCCTGTAACCTGGTTCATGGTTTCATCATTAGCCTAAACTCCTGCTGTAGCAGAATGTTATCAGTGCACTGTTGACTGTTCTGTTCTGTGTGGGAAGGCATGAAAGATAATTGCCTGCACTATCACCATTCCCAGACTGGAAGACAGTTATGAAGTTATTCCCCTTAGCCTTCTCTTCTGCAACTCAACATTTAAAATGTTTTCCCAGATTTCCACTGCCTGTCTTCCTCTTAAATCATCTGAGCTGCTGTTGTTATAAATGAAGGTGGGCTGGGATGCGGGTATTTCCATCTCATCACTGCTCTGGAGACAAAGGCTGGAGAAGGGAGGGAGGACTGCAGAAACCTTCAGTCTGAGTTTACTCTCTACAACAACTGCAGCAATCTGAGACCCAGGGCTCCAGCAGGGCTGCCAGCATTTTCAGATCGATCTGACCAGTTCTCCAAGGAATTCCAAATGGGCCCCAGAGGCAGCAGTGCAGTAAGATGGAGAACTAGTGATACATCCAGCCACATCTGTGCAAAACAGATGCAGGGAGTAAAGGCAGGAAGCATTTGCTGGGAGCCGGGGCCCCAGTTGGACCTGAGTGTGAGCCCTGGGAGATGCCACCTTCGCTCAGCTGGGAATGCTTTTCTCCTTGCTTGGTTGGTTTTGCATTCTTATTTTTTCAGAAAAAGTGGGGCTTTCTGTTAAAGCAATACACACACACACACACACACACACACACACACATATATATATATACACATTTTTTTCTCCAAAGGTCACCTGTAAAGTCCATCAAAAAGTTTGGATCATGAGCCTGATAGGTTAATACAGGTCATCAGCAGAAGTTGCTTCTGGGAACTACAATTTAAATCACTAGCCAGAAAAGAATTGCCCTTTCGTCTGACACACAAGGACAGTAGTAAATCCTCTTTATCACCTGGCCAATGGGACCTCTCTTTTTTTTAGTTTGTGACTGCCTTAGATGGCCGGTAAAAACTCCGCCTTTTTTTCTGAAAGGCACAGCTGTCAGTGAGAGCGTGAGTGTGCAGGGTGTGGGCCCAGCCACGAGGAAAACACCATCCTCTAGACTGTCAGGCAGGAGGGACTCTTGCTGGCAGAACTGTGCCAGTCTGCTCAGGCTCCGCGCTCCAGAGCTGAGGGCCTGAAATAAATAATCACTATCCCCTCTCGAGGGGAGACCAGTCCAGAGGCCAGAGCTTGCTTTGTGCCTGGTGAAGAGATAAGAACACAGGATGTCAGACACAGGGCGGGAAAGGGACGGGATGGAAAAGTAAGCCAAGCAGCCCAAGTCTGCCATGAATTCTTCTAAACCTTGGCCAAGAGTGGGGATATCTTCTGAAACCGGAGCTCATTTTTCCCTTTTTATTCCCTGAAACTTGAGCCCTGAACTTCTGGGCAGGAATTAAAGAGAGTCAAGACAAGATACTTTTCATAACTCTAGTACTTAAAACTTTCTGGACACTTCAACACCTAAAGACCCAGTGCTGATACCCTTGTCTTCTGCTTGGCCCACCTTGTGTGCAGTTTCTGCGAACTGCTGGGCACTGTTCTTCATGTCTTCTGTCTTCTCCTCCGCTCGGCCTAACCGCTCCCCACGCTCATTCAAGGCCTGGCTCGCCTTCTGTACAGCACTGGTCACACTATCGGCAGCTGAATGGAGGATGCTGTTTCCTGCAAGAAGGAGAGCAAGGGCATTAGGAGCTGGCTCTGCTGCCCTACAGTGACGAGATCTCACACTACAGAAAGACCTCGGGTTCCAAGAAAAAGCTGCCATTTTTTGTGGTTCTGATTGACTTGTAGGATGAACCCACACAGACAGAATCCAGGACTTGGGCAAATCCTGGGTGGTTCCTGCATGTCTGTCTATCCTAGCTGAAGACTTCGCCAGGGTCCACCCAGACCGAAGATGGGGTCCATCTAGACTGACGACTTGGCTTTCAAAGGTAAATGAGAATCATGTCAAGTTGATAGAATTAGGCAAGTTCAATGAGAAATACCTGGATCTTATGTGCATTTCCTCTTGACTTGCAGTTTAGGTGAATAATCTTAGGGAAAGTGAGGCCATAGGACTTTCCCAGAAATAATACTCTATGTTCCTTTCTCATTTTATCCCTTCACCTAGTTTTCTTTCTCATTTTATCCCTTCACCTAGTAAGTAAGCAATGCTCCTGGGTGTATGGCTTGTAGGAGCTATGAATTAGATTTGAAGTTCAAAGCAGCTCTGTTAGCTCCCATTTTGGAATCCTGAGCCATAGCTCAGACTGTTGGGTCTTCTTGCCTCTGATTTCTAGTGTATGTGATATTATACATAAGTAGCAAATAGAAAACCATTGCAGAGGATGGTCCTAGAAGAAATGTGGCATTCCTAAGTCCAGGCGCGATGATCTGAGGAAACTGAAAACCATCACATTTCCAAGGGTCATGCATTTCTGACATCCCATTTCCTAAGTCTGGGTGGCAAAACTTAGTGGTGAAGAACTTGAACGTGCATAACCCACTGAGAACCAGCAGCTTGCAAAATGGTAACCAGAGGAAATTTATAGCTGTATTTGTTAACACTGAGTTATGTTTTGTTAATGACACTGTATGTGATAGCTTAATGTCTTTGAGTAAGTTCATTAGATCATTTAATTTTGTACCTAGGATGGACACATCTAGCCACAGATAGCTTTTAATAGAAATGTAATTTCTACTGGCCCCAACTGCAAAGGCTTCCTAATTTCTTCTCTGTGGGAACAGTCTGTGGTTTGTGGAAAAGGATCACAGACACAGAAAGTACCTGTCCAGAGGAAGCATTTAGTAAATTATTCTCCATTTTTCTTCTTTAGGAGTAGATTTTAAGGCCTTCAACTGTACACTAAAGGAAGGAGAATGGGGTTAACTTACAAGGTGCAGCAAGTGTCCTATGAATCAAAATAACAATAATTCTGTACAAAGACGTAAAGAGCACAGGAAACTGAGTGCCAGGGAAATAGGGTGGAACACAAGGGTAGGAATGGGTCTGGAACTTCAGAGCAGATTTAGAACTCTTGGTTCCTTCTGCTTTCACAACACACTTATGACTATGATTTAAGCCTAGTGTCACTACCTAGCATTTATATAGCATTTGTAATCATGAAGCATTCTAATATTACCTCATTTGATTGTCCAACATTTCCACTGAGATCACTGAGACTGGAGAGGTGAAGAGGTTTACATGAGATTGTATCACCAGGGAAGTGACACGGCTAGCACTTAAACCTAGTTTTACAATACTTTTGCTTATTTTGTACCTTCTTTGCAGCTGTGGTGTTGGTCTGGGGAAGCAATCACTATGACACAATTGCAGGCACTAGCACACTAGCAGGTAATTTCCCCAGGTAATGCCTGACTGTTGCTGTCCTCAAAGTATTCCTTTCAGTAAATCAAGAGTGATTTTCCATGCCATGGTGCAAATGAAGTGACTTGAAGAAGGAAGAGGCCAATGGGCTGGAATGAGAAGATGGATAAGACACTGGAAGGTGCATGATAGGAAATAGGCAGCAGGAAAACTTTGTATTTTTTAGGTTCCCTCTATATAACCACAGTTTAGCCATGAGAAGACTGGGAAAAGATGGGGCAGGAAATCTGCAATTTAATGGCTAGAAATAAAGGGATTTCAGAATTAGCTGCCACTAAATGACCAGGGTATATAACTAAGATCTATCTTTCCCTATTAGAATTGACCCATACCATCTCTTAGAAACATCTGTGTTTGTACATTGAACCCGTTATGTCTATGTATAAGCCATACTGCTTTCCTTGTCATAGCTTACTTAAAATTAACCTTGTACACGATGGCAGATTGAAATTTGTATTAGTCACTTCTCTCATCCCTGGGACAAAATACCCCACACCAGCAACTTAATGGAGAGGTTTATTTTGACTCCAATTTTAATCCTTGTTTGGTTGGCTCCAAGGTTGAATATGATGGCAGTGGGGCTTGGCAGAGGAGATCTGCTCAGGGGGTGGTGGCAGGCAGAAAGCAGAGAGAGATCAAGGGAAGAGTCAGGGAGATAGAACCTTCCAGGTGAGTATTCCCAGCCACGGCCCCTGTAATTCTACTATGGGCTTGGGAGGCTGAGCCAGGAGGATCCCAAGTTTGGGCAAGTTAGTATGACTCTGATTCAAAATAAAATGCTTGGGGATATAGCACAGTGGTACAGTTCTTGCCTAGAGGGGCCTGGATTCAATTCCTACTCTACTAGTACGGGAGGGGAAAAGAGGGAGAAAGTGAACAGGAATGAGAATGAACACAGTGGATCCCTGAAATTTCCAGAGGTTACATTCCTAGAGCACCTGAAAATTGTGAAAAACTCAGATATGATCAGAAAAATGCCTGTTTTATAGTTTAAACCCTAAATATGCTATATTTCCCACAGTTATGTAATTTAATTTAATCTAATAAAATACTGTATACAGTACTATAACAGTTTAATTTAATAAAAATACTGTATAGAAGTTCAACCTTCTCTTGGAGTGTCTTAAACTTCTGGCACTCAGATTCATTGCCAGAGCCTTAGAAGGTGCAGGGCATTTTGGTGGCATCTTAGAGATCTTAGGGCTTTAAGAAGAACAAAGCTGAGAACACTTGAGATAGCTTGAGATGTGATACAGCAGGCTGTGATGATGTTAGAATGCTGGTGCATCTGCCAGAGACGGGTTACAGGGTATCAGCCAATCAGCGGCAAGGAGAACTGAATAACGATCTCTGATTGGCTCCCTGCAAACCTCCCACCAAAAACAAGCTAACAAACCAAATAACAACAACGATAACAACAAAAAACCCAAACAATTGAGGATGATACAGTATTTGCAGTTTTCAAGAAATTGTGGAGAGGTTTCCACGAACAATTATTAGGTAGGTTATATAAGGAAAAATCCCGAATGACTGAGGCCTTGAACTCTGAATAGCAACTTCATGGTGGTATAAAAGGAAAGAACCTTCAGTGTTAAAAGATGACGTTGTGACCATTATCAATAGGAAATCTACACTGGGTTATTTTCACATACACTGCATTTGAAAAAATTCCATTCTCTCTATTGAAAGGACCCTTTGCTGACCCTTCCCTAAATCTGTAACTGTTCTTCTCTTTTGATTCAGGTCTTCTGTTTATTTCCTTACCTCTTGGGTCTCTTGCTTGTATTATAATTCGAGAATTCTGTCCTCCTTGCACTCTCCTTGGAGCAAGCTGGCCCAGCTCACGGCTTCACTGACCAACCTTTCTCTCCCTGGAGCTTGTGCCGCTGAACTCAGACCCACAGCACTGCTCTTACAGAACAACTCCAGCTAAATGACTCAGAGTCATCTCAAATTCATATGTTTAAAACTGATCCTAGCACCTTTGGCTTTATACAGTAGTACCTCCATTCACAAACTATTCTCTTTGCAAACAATTTGTTTTGCAAACAGAAGCATTTGACAAAATTTTACTTCCATTGGTGAACTCTGCATCTAGTGAAGAACACAGTTGTGGCTGTCTTCCCTGCACCATCATGAACGTGGCCATCTTCCCCAAAACTGTGGAATGAATTAAGTTCATGAACCGAGATACCACTGTACTCACTTTTCCTTTGGGTGCTGTGTCAGTGAATAACCCCAACACTTGCCCAGCCAGAAATCTAGCAGTCTAAGTTCAGATTCTTCCCTCCTTTTAAGCCCATAGAACTAAATGTTGCTTTCTACACAGCTCTATCGTCCTACTGGCTTACATGCAGGCACAGTGAAGAGTAATTCTCTCACATGCGTCTCTGATCATTACCAGAAACTACACCGTTAGCTGAAACAGCATAAACTGCTTTTAGTGTATGTTGAAAATTGCTCCCTGACATTCAGCATTCAAAACTATGTATACCGTGTGCCAGACAATTAGCAGAATGACTTTGAGGGAGTCAATTTAATTTACCTGACCTTCAGTTTTCTTACCTGTAAAATGTGGGTCATGCCATCCACCTCACAGGCCCACTGTGGGGGTGAAGATGCAAATGTGTACCAAGTGCCTGCAGGATCTCAGTGGAAGGCTGTGCCTCCGCCTCCCTTAAGGCCTCATCTGCTTCTTAGGGGACTCTGGAAAAATGGCACAATATCTCCCAGGTGTATTGAAATTTTCCTTCTCTTTTCTGCTATCATAGGACTAAACATTTGGAAGTCCACAGAACATACTTAGATATTTTTGTGTAGCATAGTGTGTTCCTCAAAGAGGAAACTGAACACATATTCATTCACTAAATCAAGGCATACTTTTTTTTAGTGCTGGGAATTGAACTCAGGACCTTGCACTTGCCAGGCAGGCATTTGTGCCGCTGAGCTAGATCTTTAGCCCCAAGGCATACTTTGTAAATAGGATGCCTTACTCAAAAGTTGGGCCCCATAATATCATGTGGAGTTAAATCTGGAAATAAAGCAGTCTCCTGAGGCAGATAGAACAGTAATTCTCTCTAAACAGACTGAAAGCATACTAATACCCAAATTTATTCAAGCAGTCTGAAAAGCTGTCAACCACCACAAATAAAGTGAACTGCCTTTTGATTGCTAGTCTCTAGAGAGCACAGCAGAGACCAGTATTGCTTCATTGTGTCACCTTTATACGAGATCCATTCAGTGTGTGTTTTAAAAAAATATTATGCTGGCGTCTTTTATATTAAGTGATTTA